ATATCGCCGTTCCATATAAAATCGCAGCTTACTCAAACCCCATATATGCGAGTCGTGATTGCATCCGGGATATCTCACATCAATGCTTCTTATACGCATTTTGTTATCGCACACCTGAAAATAGAAATTAAATTTGCGAAACCAATTAAATCAAATTACGGCACTGATGTAATTGAAATAATGCTCACCACCATAGCGTTAATGCTAAAAAAATCCTTTTCTGTTGTAATACAGAAAATGTTCTTCATGTGGCTTGATTATTCTTTTATGCGTGCCATCAACGCACATGATGACCCCTGGGGAGCCAGCCTTCGCATAAAACTCCTGTTTTACTTGTATTTTTCCCTCTTCAGTCTGCTCAAATTTTATCCATTCAGGGCAATGATTTCGTTGCATCACTTCAAGAAAATTGGACAGTGACTTTGACACGGTTGTTGATTCCGACATTTATAGTCTGCACCAACTCCGTGTTGGTAACTGCCCTCCGCAAAAAATCTTATCGCGGCCACTACTTGGTTAAGCGGCGATACAGAGGTTAAGGTTTTCGCTGAGTTTCTCTTGCAAAATTATCCAAAACATACTTGAAAGCATCCTTGTTAAGTCGAAAGTTCTTTTTGAATCTAAAAGTGTTAACCAATTTTATTAAGCTTAGCACTTTACACATGCATTTCTTACAATTCTTGGCTCATTTGGAAAGGATCACACATATCTCTTAATCTCCGCCTTTCCTCTTTCACCTCAGCATTCCGGGATGCGTTGTCCTCCTCTTCAAGCAATAATGCCGCGGCAATGGATTCCATGACTATGTTTCCACTTAATTTAAGAAGAAACGAAATTTTATTTTAAAATTACAATAATGTAAGATATATTTAGTTATTTTAATATATTTACAAATTTTAACTTCTGAAGCTGCTATAATTTGGTGGCAAATATTTCTTTTTGTTTCGATTTCACACATTCCTAGGCAAACAGCTGATTTCGAAAGATGTTTTCTCTCTTCCTCTTCTTCTTTCGATTCGATCGTAACGCAGAATACCTAAGTTCGATTCTAGCGGAGCGGAATGGGCTGAATATTCAATCCTTATAAGCGCAGGCGTCAGTTCTGCACCGTCACTGTCAAATGAAAAGACTTAGCCTCTAGATGTGTAATGTATTATCTTTCTGAGTGGGGTTGCCACCTGTTTAAAAACTATAAGATCTTCACCGTTCGTTGGATAAAAAAATTAGATACCAAATGAAAGTGCATGGCCTTCGCATGTACAAAAACTTTATTTTTTTAGCAAGGTTGCCACCTATTTAAAATTGCTATCTTCTATACATAGTATAAAATAAAGGCGACATATTTTGACCACGCTGCTGAACGGATGTAGACAAGATTTTTTAAGTATATAATAAACGCAGTACTTGATGACATAAGATTTCTTTCTCCAAATTCGTAAATGTACATACATATGCATATATTCAGCGCGTGGCGAAGCCTCGCGCATCCGTGGCCGGCTAGTTACATATTAAGTGGTTGAAGTTACTTGATACTTTGAAAACAACGTATCTGTTTTCAAAAATTAAAATTACATATTTTTTCCATATACAGAATGTAAAAGAGAAAATAAGCATTTTCCAAAGCAAACTCTTTTAACGAGCAAAATTAATTTTTTTGAGTAATATTTCAATTAACTCGATTAATCATCGTTTTGAATAATCAAAATCTTGATTGCTCGAGTAATTGATTAACCGAATAACTGATTAACCAACTTGCTCGGGTAATCGAATAATCGCACAGCCCTAAATATAATACTTTCATATTTAACAATGAATTGTTAAAAACTGCCAAGAGTGCAAAGATATATATTTAAATGCATAAGAAAGAGAAAAAAATGTATGTGTACTAGGGCTGAGTAATTTAATTTCAAAAAAGGTGTACGGCATTTCGAATTCTACGTTCGATTGTAAGCAAAAATGGTGAACAAACTAGGGCCTGTTCGAGGCACGTAATAAAAGCGGCATTACTGCCGTACTGATGAAAGATGGCAACATTGTTGCAACTGCCCAACTGATAATACATTGCTAGAAATTCACACAGAACGTGATACTTTAATAATTTGCGCAACACTGCGGTTGTGATTGCAACTCGAACAAGCCCCTACATATATGTATACCAAAAATGACGTTTGACGTTTTTCCTGAACAAAATTAATTTTCCATTTACAAAAATTTTGTGTTTCTTCTGTTTCGTTTGAAAATTGGGAGGGTCAAACGTAATTTTTCGTATATAGTTCGTTCGCCATTTTTATTTTTCTTCTAAATAAAATACTTTACTTATATTTGAAGTGTACTATATTTTTCCAATTTTTTTTGAAAAAGTACTATAAATATCTTTAAAAAAATTTGGAAACCCTAGTGCCTGCTCTGCGCCTTTTTTAAAAGCTGGTGCCACAGCCACCGAGAAACGCAACCACTTAGTGACAAAACGCTTATCAAAAGTTTTGTTTTTGCAAATTTGGTTAAATAACACTGTGCGACACTAAAAAATACCTGGGAAGTTATTATGTATATTTGCTGGTAGGTCTTTTCGAGTAAAACAAGAATCGAAATTTGAAATTTGCCAAACACCCCCAAAATCTTGATTTACCCTTAAAAAAAAGGCGGTTTTTCGGCACTTATAAGCCTGTGACTTAGTTCAGTACGAACCGAGTTTCGGTTTATTGCCGGGTTTAAAACGAAGAAACTTGGGCCTTTCGAACGATATACATGCGAATAAAAAAAACTGTATGAGATCTGTGTGTATTTACCCACCAAACACATTTTTTTTACTTTTTGCAAACTTTGGTGAGGTTGTAAAGCTAAATTTAATAACGAGTAAAACGAGTGTTTACTTTCAAAAGTCAGATGGATGTTTACTAAGTTATCAAACTTTTTATAAAAATCAAGTTTTTGCAAAAATATTTTTTTTTTGACTATACTACTCAAAAATGTTTTGTTATTATTATTATTGTGATTTTATTTTTTCCTCCAAATTCAAAATTCATATTTCGATTCTGGATTTACTCGAACAGACCTACCAGAAAATATACATAACTTCCCAGGTATTTCTACTTTATGCTTTTTTGTAGCACTGTGCAATAAATTATCGCCGGGAAAAATACTCGTTTTATTTTATTTAAGGCTAATTAACAAGAGAATTAGAAATTTTTTATAGAAGCGTTTTTGTGAATACTCATTGTAAAAAATTGCATTAAAAATTCGATTAATCGATTATTCCGCAATAATTGCAATTAATTTCAATTAATTTTTTTGCCTTGTGATTAATCATTTGATTAATTAGTCGATTATTTTTTTATTCAACAATTTTATAATGAGCTCGAGGCCATTTTTTAAATGAAAATTTATTGGGGAAAAGCAACAATAATTTGAAAAAATGGTAGAAGTGATAGCTATTTCGGAAATCACCACATTTCCTCATCAGACTTCTTTCAGTAGGATTCGAACCGACGATCCCACTGACTCAGCCAGTTGCCTATGCACCGTGCTAAGACGCCTTGTAAATTATCGTTTGCTTATTTCCACTATTTTCATTTTTGTTATGCCAACACAATCAAGCGCAGCTATTCCGCTGCAATTCACTTGATCATGTGGTTGTTGGTTTGTGCTAATAATTCTATTTTTAGAATGCTTAACTTTTAGGTGTGCTCGTCCTTAAGTTATTTGTTTTTTGTTATTTTTTGGCCTTTTTAACAATTATATTCAACAATTTTATAATGAGCTCGAGGCCATTTTTTAAATGAAAATTTATTGTGGAAAAGCAACAATAATTTGAAAAAATGGTAGAAGTGATAGCTATTTCGGAAATCACCACATTTCCTCATCAGACTTCTTTCAGTAGGATTCGAACCGACGATCCCACTGACTCAGCCAGTTGCCTATGCACCGTGCTAAGCCGGTGGCCTCGAGCTCATTATAAAATTGTTGAATATAATTGTTAAAAAGGCCAAAAAATAACAAAAAAACAGATTATTTTTTTATTTTATTTTTTGCCACCCTACATATATGTATGTATATACATTGCATTTTTTGAATATCTAATATAACAATGATCGGAATTTTTCATTTCTAAAACACCAATGGTAACCAGAAACAAACAAAGCATCAACTTTTTTTATGTTGCGCTGATTACTCTAGCGATGCGGTTCAATAATTTTTCGGATGCTTTTTGGAAAAGTTTACATTGTCAACATTTTGAATTTCGGCGTTATTGGAACATGTACGCAGTCGCCCAAATATTCGCGTAGAACGTGATGCGATTTCATAAAAAGTAACAATGCCGCATTAATTGCAGCTCGAATACTCCCTTAGTGAGTTTATAAGAAAGACGAATTTCCATCTTATGAGAGACAATTTTTATGAATTTTTTAAGACACCGTTAATGGAGGGCTAACGTCAAACAATTTTTTTTTATTATTATGCTCTTGCGGAAGACAAGCGATATTTCCTCTACTTCCAAAACCTTTTCAACTGAATAAACAAAGGCTTATATTTTTACAAAACAATATTTATTTTATTTATTTATAATGCGGAATAATTTTAATTTGTTATATTATAGGTAACCAATTATTAGCATAGATCAGATATTTATGTTTCGCCTGATACTGTATGAGATTTTTTCTATATAGAATACAGAAATCTATTAAAGTGCTGTTTATTAAAAAATGTTTTGAACTTTTGGAATGAAATAAATATCAACTGTATATAAATTTTTGAACAGCAACATCCCAGAATAATTTCTGCGACTTGATGCATTTTTATGTGGAATCGCGTAGATATGGGTAGTATCGTATTGTGCCTGTAGGAAATAATCACCTCCGCTCTAACTGGAGTTCGTCCTTAATGTTTTGACCAATATACTTTTGTATACACTTTCAAATGTATTTACCAATAAAATATTTGTTAATAATACAATTTTAATCTATTAATTCCTTTTTTATCATTGTAGCGACATATCTATCTATCAGTTAAGTTTAGATCTCTTTTTTGCAATTGCATCCTCTACTGCGCGCAGTTGCTTTAGTAATTCCTCACGACGCGACTTCTTCAAATCCTTTTCCGAATTTATTGAATGTGTAGGTGATGAAGCGAGAGCCGATACCCCTACTGTAGGTTGCTTCTTAATCTCAATAGATATTGGTGATCTCTTTTTAGTTGGCTCAGCTGAAATAAAAAAAAAAAACAAATCACACATTTTCTTTAGTACCAAATTGAAATCAATACAAATTTAATTAAACAAGAGAATATTAGGTACCTAATAAATTAGCAGTTAACCGTGGTCCTTTCATTAGATAATTAAAAAAAAGTTATGATGACTACAAATCGTCGGCTTAGAGTGCAAAGGTGCTAAGTGCTTTTTCTAAACTTCCAGGAGTACGAGGAGTTTTGCAATTACCTCATCTCATGCGCCACCTATAGGCAAAATTATTGGAGGGAGTTATTTCTTTCCTTGTAAGTAATATACACCTGCTTTCAACTAATTAGCATCGATATTCAAAATGATATTGTTTGCAACCACGGTTGCCATACACTTAAGAGAAAATTTTACCAAAAAATTTTAAAAATATTACCAAAAAGTTACCAAAAGTATTAAAAGCCTTTTTTCTTTTGACATAAACAATAGGCGTTACTTACACCTTCGAGATTGTATAAAAGTTGCCTAGAGGTTTACATATGTAGGTATATACATACATGATTTCTGCACTTGCCAAATCGATTAAATACACTTTTTGAAAAATCTTAAACTTAAGTGTCAAAGTTTATAATAACTTTATGTTGTATAATATTTATAACAACATTCTTTATTTGAATTTATAATACAAGGGGTATTTAAAAAAAGAATGTACATTATTTGATCGCATCTCTCATCTTTTTTGGTGGTTCGAAATAACGCATGACTTTAGCTCCTTGTGGCACATATGTTTGTACATATCGCCAATCATACATAACTCACAATTTCGTATATATCATCAAAAACAAATTCACTTCGTAAGAAATTAGCTACGTTTATGTAGCTTTGTCGCAGATATTGTAAAATATTTTAAGGTTTTTCGGTATTTAGCCTGAAAGTTACCAAATGAGATCGGAAGTCACCAAATTACCAGAGAGAATAAAAGTTACCAATTTTGGTAGCATTTTACCAAAGTGGCAACCGTGTTTGCAACTTATATTTATTTATTTATTTTTAAAAATTCAACTATTTTATTTAACGTGAGGACGTTTTTTAATGAAAGTTTTGTGGAAAAAAATTCTAAAAAATCAAGGGGTAATTTTTAGGGACTTGAAACTTGCCCTTTATGAGACTAAAATTAAATGGGCTTCAAAATTGCAGAACCGAAAATTTGTTAAACATTCTGATTAAAAATTTGGAAATTTTGATCACAATTCTTTTAAGTTTGATTTTTTTTTTTGAAATTTGTGCAGGCTTTGAAACTTTTATTTACGTGGTTTCTGTTATAGATTGAATTATGGCCCCTATTATGGTTCACAACTTTCAAGATAGTTGAGTTGTAAGTTGTAAATTCGTATTTGGGACACAACTTAACTCAAAACGTAGTGGTCTGTTAGTTGTCTAGCACTAGCATCCTCGGGCATATCGGTAAAACATAATTCATAACTGATTTAAATTTTTTGCTTTTAATTATTTGAATATCATTAAAATAACGTAATATTATGAAAATAACAATATTTCTTTCGAATTTCTGACTTTTTCAATGGCTACAGTCAACTGAAAACAGTTGTGAGCGGCAATAGCAATAAATAGTTGAGTTGTATACAAGTTGAGTTGTGAACCATAATAGCGCCCCTATTTTAAATTAAAATTATTAAAAATAAATAAATAAACGTAAGTTGCAAACAATACCATTTCGGTGCTAATTGGCTGAACGCAGGTGTACACACGTTATAAATATAAACGGAATTCGACCAATAAATACGGGTTTTCCACATATCTCTATCTCTACTCCTGCGCTACCCACCGGCAAAATTTATATAGGTGATATACATTTCGAATATGAACCAAATTGGACTATGAATACACGTTTTTCAAATATCTCGACTTCTGCTCCACCTAGCGGGCTAATTCGTCTTTCATATTATATTGCCATAGTGTTCTGAGATAAATTTGAAATTTCAAGTCTATAGCTCATCGGGAAGTTGGTTAAAAATTGGTCGCCTAAACAAACATATTAGCATATCGCTCTTTTAGTAATATAGAGCAGAGCTGCTCACTCCATAAGCACTTGTAGCACATTTGTTTTTATTTTGCCCTTAAGTATAAGCACGTATACAAATTTACACTTTAAATATAAAAAAAATGTATCACTCTTCCGTATTCCCTGACATATAAAAGTGCCTGAGTTTCATATGGGAATGCAAAGCTCAGGCACTCCAGTAAAATTTACAAATTTACACAAACAAATATAGAATGAAAAAATAATAAAAACCCATTATGCAAAACATTAGAAAAAGGCCACAATCGTTAATGGCAACAAATTGGGGACTCACCGATTTATTGCCGTGGTGACAAATTGACAACATCATTTCTTTCATGTCAATTTTGGAATAAATAAGTTATTGAAACTTATAAATTTCGCGTCAACAGTATTATTCAAAAGCGTCTAATGTAGTGTAACTGAAAGTCGACCATGCTTAACGTTTATAATTATTTAATTTATTCATAACAACAAGGGTTTCATATTTCAGTTGTTTGAATATTTTGAATATAGAACTCACGCATTGTCAGGCACACGTGCCAAACCATCAAACAAACTAACTTTAAGCTTCAATTTATTTATAATATTATTTATGCTTATGCAGCAATTATTTCCCATAAATACCCCAATATGTTAGGCTAAGAATTCAATTGTAAAAGAACCTACAAAGCGACATTGAGTTGCTCAGTAAAATAAATTCAATACAATTAAAACATAAATGAATTGTTTCATTTGATACATGGCGATCCTGCCAGCTTTTTGCGAAAATTAATTTGCAAAAAAGCTATCCTGCCAACCGGTGCTTAGATTTGAATTGCACAGTGGCAGTCTAGTGCTTTGCTGCACAGATCAGCCTGAATACTGGTTTGCTTAAATTGCAACATTTTTAAAATTTTGTGCTTAAAAATTATGCACTAAAAAGCACATTTCGCGCTGACTTGCAAACGTGATCAACATGAATCCGCTCAAGATTTTCTGCTTCGTGGCTTTACTTGTCGCAGCCGCTAGTGCTGCACCCAAGCATGGCAAGAACAAGGATAATGCCTTCTCGAGAAGTTTAAAGCCCACTGATTGGTTATCGGTGTCTGAACTCCAGTCGATGCAGTCAGCTGAGGATTTCACTATGCAGCAGTTGGAGAACATGTCAGTGGAGGAAGGCGAACGGGAAATTGAGAAAATTTATCACCTCTCACAAATTAACCACGCGTTGGAACCATCGTTTGTGCCAAGTCCCAGTAATGTGCCAGTTCTCTTGATGAAACCCAATGGTCAACCCGAACAAACCACTTTGAATGAGATGGTCGACGCTGCCAAGAAACAGCCCAACTTTAGCAATGAGGAAGTTACCATTTTCATCACTGGCTTGCCCCAGACCAGCCCTGCAGTCGCAAAAGCAAACAAAAACTGATGTGCGTCAATCCGCACTCATAGGGCCAGTAAGCGAATTTTCGCTCAGACCAGAAAAATTCCAAATGCACATTGAAATACCAATTATAACTACTTGTAACGATGACATAACACTCCCAGCTATGTCAGAAGTTATAAGAAGGGTGAAACTTTCTACTCCTTTTCAAGAAGTACTGATACCTAATCAAGAAATACAAACAGGTATATTCATTGCAAGTACCTTGGTAAAATCTGAAAATGCATTCATACGAATTCTTAACACAAATGACAGACCAGTAACGGTAAAACTAAACAGAATTCAATCAGAAAATCTCACTGACTATAACATAATTTCAAGTGATCAAAACAAAACAGAAAGAAAAAATAAAATTTTAGATACACTAAAGAAAAATTTTCCAAAACTATTTGAAAAAACGTTAACGGAATTATGTTCTAGGTACAGCGATATTTTTGGATTAGAAACAGAAGCAATCACATCAAACAATTTTTACACACAAAAGTTAAGGACAAAAGATACAGACCCAGTATACATTAAGAACTACCGTATACCACACACTCACAAAGAAGAAATTGAAAGACAAGTCTCAAAAATGTTAAAAGATGGAATAATAGAGCCATCATGTTCCGAATATAATAGTCCTATTTTATTAGTTCAGAAAAAATCACTTCCAAATTCAATTGAAAAAATATGGAGGTTAGTAATAGATTACAGGCAGATTAACAAAAAATTAATAGCGGATAAATTCCCACTGCCAAGAATAGATGACATCCTAGACCAATTAGGTCGAGCTAAATATTTTTCTTGTTTGGATCTTATGTCAGGATTCCATCAAATACCACTAGAAACAAATTCACGAGACCTGACATCCTTTTCTACAAATAATGGATCCTACAGGTTTTCTAGACTCCCATACGGATTAAAAATTGCCCCTAATTCATTTCAAAGAATGATGACAATTGCGTTTAGCGGTTTAAAACCAGAACAAGCATTTCTCTATATGGACGACCTGGTAGTCCTGGGTTGCTCTGAGAAACACATGCTATCAAACCTATCGGATGTTTTTGAACTATGTCGCAAGCACAACTTAAAATTACATCCTGAAAAATGTTCATTTTTTATGCGCGAGGTGACTTATTTAGGACATAAGTGCACTGACAAAGGCATACTCCCCGACGACAAAAAATTTTCAGTAATTAAAAATTACCCTATACCTACAGATGCAGATAGTGCGAAAAGATTTGTAGCATTCTGTAACTACTACAGGAGGTTTATAAAAAATTTCCCTGAATACTCAAGACATCTCACTAGATTGTCAAAGAAAGGAGTACCTTTTCAGTGGACACTAGAATGTAATAATGCTTTCGAGCACCTTAAAAAGGCATTGATAAGTCCTACATTGTTACAGTACCCAGATTTCAGCAAACAATTTTGTATAACTACTGACGCAAGCAAACACGCATGTGGTGCTGTACTAACACAAGAATATGAGGGAAAACAATTGCCGGTGGCATATACATCTAGAACTTTCACAAAAGGAGAAA